AAAATCCCCATATACAAAACCTTTTTAAAAAGTATATAAATATTTATAATGTTGACCATAGATGCTTTAAGTACCTTAAATCATAAACTCTGTATAGTTTGTTAGTAGTCTTATAAAAATATATTTAGCTCTCAAACGTTTAATCATCACCACATAAGTCAGTTAAAGTCAGTTAAAGTGCTAACCTCTAATGCATATTAGAAAGGTACCCAAAATAGAATTCTCCTGCATTTTACACATTAATATAAAGTTTGCCAATTGTTTTGAACTTTCAAATGTACTCCTAAAAACCAAAAAGAACCTAAACACCGTATTACAGACATACGTTAGAAAAATCCTAGAAAAGTCCACCCAATTTCCATTTTACTTGCCTACATAGTTTGAAGTCAGCCTCTCGAAAGCTCTTCAAAAGTCCACCCAGGAATTTTTAAGGCATTTGTTCATTTGTTTTTCCTTGGGTGACCTGGTTTCTCCTTGAGTGCAGAATATATAATCTAAAGCATGATATGTGCAAAGGTGCTATAGTGTTAAAAAATTAAAACATTGGTTGTACCGTTCATTACATTTCAAAGTGACTAATGCCGATGTCAAAATAAGAATGCTAATTGTAATAACAGGTTATATCAAGAGCTTTTTCGAAACCAAGGGTCTTTATGCTCCAAAATACTCATTTGTGTTTCCATATAGTCTCTTAATAAAAGTTCCTGGTCACAGTGCAATACAGCATTTGCAGTAGTTGGCACCTGCCACAGTGCTTCCTTTACGCAACATTCAGTGGGGAGTTCTCCTTCCCACTCGTCCCCGCTCTTGCCTTTCTGCACTTGTGTAGAGATATAGACAGGACGATGATAAGGATGATGACCACGAACACCACTGCTCCAATGATGAAGAACATTTCTGAAAAATAAAAGGCACCAAGTCAACTTGGAGAGCTCAAATCCCATTTATCAGTGGGCAGAGTTGAGGGCATAACTCCAAATTACACCAGCCTGCTTTTGCACAACTTGAAATTTCTTTCTTCCACTCTTTCCACCACACTTAGATTAGGAAAGAATTTGTCAAACCCTAGGTGTTTTAGAGCAATTGACAATGGCTAAAAGCATTTAATGGGCATTTAATAAACTGAGTAATGTTCACAGAAAAGATACACATAGTTGGAAGTAAGAACAGCTGTGGGAAACAAGTGGCTAAAAACGGTGCTGAGATTGGTGGCAATGGTTATAGTAGCAGATGAAGTGTAAGTGCAAAGAGGGAGGTCCCAAGTGCTACCAGGACTCAGGTGAAGAAGCGATGATGACTGTTGGTGCAGAAAGAAGGCTTCATGGTGGAGGCAGCATTTCAAACGCCTCTCGAAGAACACATGGCAGCAGATAGAGAAGAGGCAGAAAGAGAGATCTGGGTGTGCTCAAAGGCAGAATTAGAGCTGGGCTTTAGGACGATGTCCCTGAAGGCTGTGAGTAGGACGGGCCAAAGGGGTGCAGGACCAGAGAGAAAAAGAGCCCTCTCCTTCTGTCAATGGCAATAAATAGAAGGGAATAGTTTATGTAAAAGTGTTTTAAAAGGCTGGGCATGGTGGCTCACGCCTGTAATCCTGGCACTCTGGGAGGCTGAGGCGGGAGGATCACTTGAGGCCAGGAGTTCGAGACCAGCCTGAGCAAGAGCAAGACCCCGTCTCTACTAAAAATAGAAAAATTAGCCAGGCGTGGTGGACCAGCCAGGTGCCTGTAGTCCCAGCTACTCGGGAGGCTGAGGCAGGAGCATTGCTTGAGTCCAGGAGTTTGAGGTTGCAGTGAGCTGAGATAAAGCTACTGCACTCTACCCTGGACAACAGACTGAGACTCCAAAAAAAAAGTGTTCTAAAATTTTTAAATCTCATCTTAGCAAGGAGCTAGGTCATCACTACTATCTTCAGACTCTTTTGTTCCCTGAAAGTACTCAGAACACTTTCCCTATAAAGCCTGTGGGAGACTCACAGGCTTTCAGCCTCATGCATGTGTCTGGATGCCCACAGGACTTCTAGTTAGGGACCATTCCTCAGCCAGTGAGTCCAAGCTCCAAATGTGTGTCAGCCATAGGCACGCACATGGGTATATTTTATATACTCAATTCCTTCCCTTGACGGGTTAGACTTTATATTCTTGTGGCAACAACCCATAGTCACAAATGTCTATCAAGTGCTGCTGCAGCTGGTCTAGAATCACTGCCCCCTTCCCCAACATAGATCAGAATTTAAGAATGAAAAATGCCCAGAGAAATCTGTGACTTGAGGCTAAATCTTAAACATGATTTGTGTACCTAGTGCTCACCAGAGTCTGGCACATGGTGGGTGTTCAAGAAAATGCTTGCTAATACAAGGGAACAACATTTGGCAATGTTTCTAAATGCTTAAAATCTTAAGAGTACCAAAAGCAAAACCAAAAAACATCTAAGGCAGTCGCTCCCTGAATAGTTAACAAAAGAAGTGCATCGTGGCTCCGAGGGCGGAGCTAGTCCTCGAAGGCACCCATGCCTCCCAGAATGACAGGCAGAGCCGCTCACCTCTGAGTTGGCCTTTCCCTTGGCTTGTGCACTCAATGGGGCTTTCTGGACTCTTCTGGTTAGTTCTTCGGGATGGAATTACTGCTTGAACATTGAAACAGTAGTTCTCTCCTTTATCCACATCAATCGAAAACTCATTAGTGTTTGTCTTGGCTGTTTTCTGTGAAAAGATAAAGAGTTCTTAATTCATCTGGGCTCAGAGTGAATTCTTTTCCCCTTATTAAGTCACTGTGGAAGTAAAACCCTAAGCTCTAAGCAAAGCATACACGGGCATATGTGACATATGAAGGATTAGAAGTGACTTGGCTAATCAGTTCCCTTGATCACTGCTAAAAATGCCTTTTCCAAGACTGAAAATATCCAATTTAGGTATATCCAACCCAATTTATCCCCTTCAGAAGATATTAATATCTGCAGTGAAGAAAAAGGAAATATTAGTCATTGAGCAGAAAACAAACTTTGTCTCCGAGCTCCTTTACAGAGGGAGAAATGTGAGAGTTGACGGCACCCTTAGTGATGATCTGCCCAGCCCCTGAGGACCCTGGGTCTCCAAGGGGGCCCTGCCCAAAGTCACAAGCAGCTCAGAGTCACAGGTAGAACCAGGACCTGTTGTCCGCCCCCCACCCAAGCAGGCACCCCTCCCACTCTACCACACCACCCGCTCATAACCCCCGTTCTGCTAGTTTTGAACTGGGTTTGAAGAAGTGGGCTGTAAAACCAAGGAGTCACAATTTAAAACAAGTCATAAAAACATGAGAAAATTCTCACCTTTCCTGTACTTAAAGCTTTCCAATAATAAAGTGTATAGTTTAAGTCCTTGCCAAAAACATCCCGGAGGCTCAGGAATGTGCCATTCATTCTGACTAAGGTACGTGCATCTTGTACTATCACATTCAGTTTTGTACCAACTTGTTCAAAACTCTGAATTGTTGGCTGTCCAAGGTTTGCTGAAACAAAGGAAATGAGCTTGGGTGGAATCAAAGAATTCTGTACAAAGTAAAACCCTATTTATCACAGTTAACAACTTATCTCTCATATAAAACCGCAGTGTTGAATCAAATCCCTGATAGCAGTAGGCTTGGTGGCACCAGCGCTAAATCCCAAGACTATAGGACTCTATGGCAGTCTTGTCCAATGTTCGACGGGAATGCAATGGGAGCCACAGACATAATTTTAAAGTTCCTTGTAGTCACATTAGAAAAAGTTAAAAAGAACAGGTGAAATTAATTTTAATAATATATTTTATTTAACCAAATACAGTTGACCCTTGAACAACATGGGTTTAAACTGCACAGGTCCACTTATACACAAATGTTTTTCAATAAATTTATACCAAGTGTGCCTCCCTCTCCTGCCTACCCTTCCACCTCCTTCACCTCTTCCGCCTCTGCTGCCCTGAGACAGCAGGACCAGCCCCTCCTCTTCCCCCTTCTCCTCTCAGCCCACTCAACACGGAGACAATGAGAACAGAGACCTTTACAATGATCCACTTCCACTTAATGAATAGTAAATATATTTTCTCTTCCTTGTGATTTTCTTAATAACACTTTCTTTCCTCTAGCTTACTTTACTTAGGAATACAGTATATAATACATGTAACATACAAAATATATGTTAATCTACTGTTATCAGTATGGCTTCCTGTCAACAGTAGGCTATTAGTAGTCAGGTTTTTGGGGAGTCAAAAGTTATACTTGGATTTTTTTTTTTTTTTTGAGACAGAGTCTCACTGTGTTGCCTGGGCTAGAGTGCCGTGGCGTCATCCTAGCTCACAGCAACCTCAAACTCCTGGGCTCAAGCGATCCTCCTGCCTCAGCCTCCCGAGTAGCTGGGACTACAGGCATGCGCCACCATGCCCGGCTAATTTTTTCTATATATTTTTAGTTGTCCAATTAATTTCTTTCTAATTTTAGTAGAGACGGGGTCTCGCTCTTGCTCAGGCTGGTTTCGAACTCCTGAGCTCAAACAATCCGCCCGCCTCGGCCTCCCAGAGAGCTAGGATTACAGGTGTGAGCCACCGTGCCCGGCCTATACTTGGATTTTTGACTGCACAGGAGGTTGGCACCCCTAATCCCAGCATTGTTCAAGGGTCAGCTGTCTATATCTGGAATATTATCATTTTAACATGGAATTAGTATTTTTCAAGATGTAGCGTATATTTCAGATATGTTGCATTAGCCACATTTTAGCTGGTCAATAGCCACATGTGGTTAGTGGCTGCTGCATCGAACAGTGCAGTAGTGTAAGGTTCCACATTCTAGGTACAATAAATTTAGGGCTGTGGGCAGGCCCAGGATATGTCCTTGGTACCGCACGGAACTGGTTTTAACCACTGGGTCTCTATAACGGCTCAATTATTTCATGTGCTTTGGTTGAATGACAGTAAAACAAACACCAATTCTGGGCAAGTCACAGGGCAAAGTGTGTGTGTATGTGTGTGTAGACATAAATATGCAAAATATTTTCTACCTTGTACCAACGATGGATGTGAAGTGGTTTATCAAAAACTCAAGAACTAAAAGGAAATCGCAAGGATGTCATCAACTGCGGGGAGAATGAGTATCAGTGATCCTGCAGAGTCACTGGAGGTGACTGTCAATGTATCTATACTCCAGCCCAGTGCCTTACGCGACACACTGGTAGAAGCACTGGCGGGGTTTGCCTCTGGGGAGGCAGCTACACTCACCTGGGGAAAGGCCCCCTATTTAGACCCTCGAAGTAGGTACTAAGGGAGTATGGATGGTGGATTATCCATCGACCCCTCCTCCCCGCCCCAACCTGAGAAACTGTTCTCTCTCCCTGGGCGGTTGTCACAGGGGTAAATATAGAAACCTAATAATACAACACTTTCGTTCTAATCAGCATGCCTTACAAGAGGAGTTAATTTCACTCTTCCCAATGTGCTACATGTTCGCATGTAAAATACCTAGCTCAGAACCACAGTCCTGAGATGAGAATTTAAATCTCCTACTGGACGTGAATTCTCTGCATTCCCTCACTAGATCCCAGGGTTGGCTTACTGGGGCAAAGGCTCAGGAGGAACGCAGTCCACATTTCCAAGAGCAGCTTGAGGGAGGCAGGCTGAGAGCTGGGCAGGTGCCGGCACATCACGAGATTAAATCTCGGCCAAGTGATTGGAAAAAGTCAGCGAGCCTAATCATGGGCTCAAAGGGAAACTGGACTTTCCCCATGGGTCTATGACCGCCTGTGAAAAATCCTAAACTGGAATCTTTGGTCTGATGATGGGACAGAAAATTCAGGATATATGATATATATAAAGAAAAGCTGAAACCCCAGGCTTGGTGGAGTTCCTGCCCCTACCACCACCACCCCACACACATTCAGCTGGTTACTGGTGGGGTCTGGGGACAGACTGGTGGAGAAAGTGACTTGATGACACTGTTATCAACTCCAAAGCTCACATGCGGTGAAACTTCTACCACATTCGGGCTGTGTGAAGAGGGCTGTGGTACTTATCAGTAAAAGAGAAAGAAAGTGTGTTCATGGATAAATATTTTTTATCTAATGGCCTCTAAGGGTCACAAGGTCACGAGAATTTTCAGAAGTTTATAACAACAAGAATAAAGGTATTACAAACCGAGCTACTTACTCTCCAGGTAAGGTGTAAACTCTGGGGAGTTCTGATAGGGAGGTTCCCCCGCAGACCCCACGGCATCTACGTTCCCTGCCGGGTAGGAAAGGACCCGCGCCAAGTACGTCTGCTTCACGTCCTGCACAATCTCGTCAGTGAGGTCACATTCTGTGTCTGTTGTGTAGAAGCATTTGCTTTTCCAATTTCCAAATTTAGAACTAAAGAAAGGAGAAAATGAAGAAAAAGAAATGGAACATTATGATTTGCACCCAACAAGACAGACCGATTTCTGGCTGTGGTCTGTGCTGACAAGAGCTCCACAACCAGTCCCAACAAGGCGTTTACTGTGCTGAGCACTCGAGACGCGTTTTGAGTCCTCACAGCACCCTGGGGGTAGGGGCTTTCTAATTAGCCTTGTTTTTACAACAAATAAGGCAACTGAGGCCAGGGGTGGTGGCTCGCACCTGTAATCCTAGCGCTCTAGCTACTCGGGAGGCCAAGGCGGGAAGATCACTTGAACTCAGGAGTCTGAGACCAGCCTGAGCAAGAGCGAGACCTCATCTCTGCTGAAAATAGAAAACGTAGCTGGGTGTGTGGTGGTGCTCGCCTGTAGTCCCAGCTACTCAGGAGGCTGAGGCAGGAGGATCGCTTGAGTCCAGGAGTTGAAGGTTGCAGTGAGCTATGATGATGCTACTGCACTCTCCCCAGGGTGACAGAGCGAGACTCTGTCTCAAAAATAAATGAAGAAATAAATAAATAAGGCAACTGAGAAAAAGTGAGATTGGGTGACTAGCTCAAAAATCACACAGCTGATCTCCATCAAGATCATTATACCTATTTATTATATCACATTACATCATTTATTACATCACATCCTATATTCTAAGAGAATACAGTCTATGTAGTAACAAACTCTGTATAATAACATATTATATATATTATAGTCTATCATGACCATTATTAGTGTGGTTATATTAATCATTTATTGACTCTACTATATGCCAGGTACTGTACTGGGCCCTTTAGACATGTTTCTTCATTTGATACAATCATTCTCAGAAGGTATTGGATTTTTTTTACACATAAGGACCGTGAAGCTCAGAAGCGCTAAGTAACTTGACCAAGGTAACACAGCTAATGAGAGGCAGAGCTGGGTCTGTTCGCTTCATCATTCCATGTGCTTCCCTCACTTCTCCAAGATGTGAATGCATCTCACAAAGATTACAGAATTATGGTACAGGTAGCATCTGTCTAGCAAAGTCTGAGACCAAAAGGCTAAAGACAGATCTTTCTTTGGTAAGACATCATTGAAAAAGAAATAATCTAAGGAACTTCTACTAGAAATGAAATTCTTCTAAGGGACCAAAACAATTCATAGGTCAGGTGTCACCGCAACTTGAACCATGAACTTCTATTCTCCGGAAAGTGACGATTATGCTGCTCTTCCTTTCCACACCTTCGACTGTCACAGCGCAACCCCACTTGCTCTGGGATCGCTAGATCTCCTTTCTGCGTGCTTATCTCTCCCTCCCCTGGCCCCCAGCACAGGTACCTCCAGAACACGCTCCACGCACAGGCCGCTTTGTACCAGGGTCCGCACTCTGCGCTCCCCCACCCCAACAACAGCAGGGCTTTAGGGCCTTGCTGCGTCTTAGTTTGCATTTACAGGTTGAATTAATACATCATTGGGGGTAAATAAGTCACCATATGAATTCAATTGTCTAAATCCATACATAACAGCCATTAATATGTATTATTTAAAAATTCGAACTAAATAACAAGGCTGATTTGGGTAAACACGTTCTTTATCCTAAAATGCACAAACTAAGATTGATTGAAATATTTTGGCTTCTTATATTTCAATTTTTAATTCTAATAAAAGTAGAGAGCTTATTTTGGTCCAGAATGACCAAAATACATTTTTATGATATCATTTCCATGTCAAAAGCAAATGAGACCATGATGATTCCTTTCCATCGCTATGGCAAACAGCTGTTCGCACACCGAGAGAAAGACTCCGTTGGCCTCTGCAGCTGCATACCATCTGACAGATACAAGATTTGGTTCCTCCAGCTCACAAGCAGGGACCATGTACTCCAGGGCAAAATTTAGCACAAGGGTCTATACAGTATTGCTGCAAGTAATAAATCGTGGAAACAGGTAACGAAGGGGCAATTCTATATAAATTCTTCAGAAGGCCATTAGCAGCATTAACACTTTAAAAACCTTCGAGATTCCTCTAGGCATTTCCAAACCCCCTGATTTGGATATAATAAAAGTCCTTCCTGAGTTACTAAAAAATTCCAACGAAATACAAATTGTCATTAATTTAGTTGCAGGTTGTTTTCTAGAAGCTTTGCAAATTCAGCTTTAGAATTTAGAACATTCCCATGGAATGAATATTACTGGTGATGGTTTGGTGCTAAGGTCCGAGCCAATAACATTTCCTAACCACCACTGAAAACTTTTTGCAAAGGGGAAGATGCAGCCAGAGCTCCAGGTGGGGGCTTTAGCACAGCAGCGGTGCCTGTGGCTAGAGCCCGGCTTCAGTAGCCAGGGTGCAGGCTGGAGAAGAAGGCAGCCCTTCAGATGCTTCCTCGAGGGAAGGAAAACAGGCAGGGAAGGAGCCCTACTGGAGATGCAGTGGGCAAGGCTCTCCTCCCTTCTCCTAGCTTTGGGGCCTCCCATCACACTGTGGCAGAGCCATCTGAGGAGTTGGTAGTATGGTGTACTGGGGAGATCTCGGTTCCAGAGCCCATGCAGAGCCAGCATGGGCACTCAGCATCAGTGCAGTCAGGAATAAATCCCTTCCTTCCCAGGGCAATAGTTTCCTAGTCTGTAAAATGACTGCTCTAGCCCTTTTAACCAGGAATCCCATTTACCCCTGGGGCAGGCAGGTGAAGAGTGCAGGTCTCAGGCAAGGCTGATGGAACTGCTCCCAGGTCCTCCAGCACAGCAGCAAGAGTGTGGGGAGATTGCCCTTGTCCACAGGGGCACCCTGAATCTGTGGGCACCCCCAAGCTGTAGCCCTGTGAGTCTGGTGTTTGCAGATTAGGGGCTGTGCTCATTTAAATAATGGCAGCCTTATAAAGTCCAAGAACTTAGAGTTAGCAAAGGCTTATGTTTACAAATCAGGTAAATCATAAATATATTCCCACATGTCCCTCAAACATAAGACTGAATATATTTAGGACGTAAGCATTCCTCCCCAAATCTAATTTTCACTATCCAGAAGGAAAGTGGTTCCCAAGGTAAACTTCAGGTCTGTATCAGAGAAATTACTTACTAATTCTCAATCAGAGGAATCTGAATTGACAAGTTTGACCATAATTGTAGTCATTTTCTCAGGTTATGACATTCCTTTCTCTCTCTCTCTCTCTCCCCAAATACACACACACACACACACACACACACACACTTGAGCATACAGATTCTCCTCCCTGTTGGTTTGGCAACAGTCATCATGAAGTTCAGTTTGAAAAACAAGAACATCCGCCTAAAAGACCCACCCCATAACTAGAACATTTCAGAAACCAAACACTTGCCAAGAATATGGTGAAAACCATCAAGGAAGACATAACCTTTAGATTGAATGTGATGAATTACTGGCTCCCGGGGAGAGCTGTCGATCAGAGATGAGACCCAGTGAGCAGAGCAGCCCAGACAGCGGAGGGTGCGGACGGCGAAGTGTTTCTTCGCGGTTCAGTGACTCACGGATTTGGCCTCCTCCACCAAGATCATGTGTGCTACCAAATTTTGATTTACAGAGTCCAAAGATTAATGAATCAAACACTGCTTAAGGGCAATGTATACATCAGAATTCCTCCCCACCTTTTCCCTAACTTGTTAGACATGGCTCACGGTCTAGACGGCAAAGGAAGAAGACATGTGCTCTTAGATGAGATTAATCTAGCATCGATCCAGAAGCATACTTCAGGGCCTACTCAAGAAGGTTCACCTCTCCACAGCTTATATTAAGCTTATGAATATTCCCATCATTTCCAAAAACAATTTAAACATTCTATCACTTTAAGACCCAGAAATGTTGCAGGCTTGATAGAGTGTAACACTGGCCAGCATATTACCATAAATGCCCTCTTCTTTGCCTTCTGTTAAATAATCTCATGCAGTAATCAGCTTTAAAGACATTTGTGGGCTGGGTGTGGTGGCTCACGCTTATAATCTTAACACTCTGGGAGGCAGAGGTGGGAGGATCGCTTGAGCTCTGGAGTTCAAGACCAGCCTGAGCAAGAGCGAGACCCTGTCTCAGTCATCATGGCACACACCTGTAGTCCCAGCTACTCGAGAGGATGAGGCAAGGGGATTGCTTGGGCCCAGGAGTTTGAGGTTGCAGTGAGCTACGATGACGCCACTGCGCTCTACCCAGGGTGATAGAGCAGGACTCTGTCTCAAAAAAATTTAAAAAAGACTTTTGTGTTCAGCATAGGAGAGTAGAAACATCAAAAACCTTAATTTTCTTTTTTTGTACCTAGCTTACCTTATCTGAACAGTGTAGACCTGATCGATGGGTTTGGGTTCCCACTCCAAAATTGTCTTGAAATTAGTTGATTTCCAAGTTAAATTATATGCTTCCACTACATCTGTAGTGCCTTTAAACAACAGAGAAACACCTATTATTATGTGCACTTCTCAGCATATGACTTTGAGTTGGCAATATAAAACACCTTTCCACCCTCCCATCACCATAAACTTCACATTTTGTTTTTAACCACAAAAGCTTCATTACTGAATTATTGAGGGAAAAAATTTTCAAATTTCTTCCTAGTATTTCCTCATGGCAACATCTACCTTATCACCCATGGAAATGAACAAGGACCTTGAAATTCTCCTTTGAAATTATTTATGGGGAAAGCCTTCTCATAACTTGACCAAGAAACAAAGCCCAGAGCCATCAATGTGCCAGCGTGTTCAGGCCCCCCTTGGGAAGCCCAAGATTCAGGTTCAACCCACCAGGGAAGGCCAAGTAAGAAGGGCTTACAATAAATTATGGAAAAAGGCAAATCCCACATGCATGAGAAGTTAGGACTGCATACAAATGAAAAGAGCCAAATTTGATTCTTTCCATTTTTATCTGAAATGTCTCTATACTGAAACTTCCACAGAGACCAAGGTGGCTGTGTGGCCGGTCACACCATCGGCTGTATTCGATCAGCATGCTTTATCATTAAGGCCTGCTTTGTCAACAGGCAGCAGGCCCGGGCTCTGCACAGCCCCGGGCTCTGCACAGCCCCGAACACCGAACAGGCATATGGGGCACGCACAATGCCGTACCTGCTCCAACCCAAGCAACATTTGGCAAAAGGACTGCCTACACTCAAATCTAAAACACAGACAACCAAGAAAAGACCAAGGCTGCTCTTCATTAAGGGAAGATGCACATATAATGAAAGATGATGTCCAAACCTTTGCACGCTGACCTGTGCAGATGCGGACCGACGTCCCATCACCTTCAAGGTCGCGATTCCCTGGGAAACTTTCCCCAAGGTTAAAGAGGGAGCCAAAAACCCGCTTATGCAACAACAATGGACGCCCAGAGCAAACACCTCTAGCAAAAGGGGCAGCCGGGTCTGGGGCGCCAACTACTCCGTGCAACTCCCGCCGGCGCGCGTCGGGGCCCAGGTTCATTCAAACGTGGCTCGGTGAGCGCAGCCGAGTCCCGCAGATGCGGGGGACACCATGGGGCACTCGGGGGACCCAGAGCGAGCCCGCCGACAGCCAGGACTGTCCCCTCCCTCCTACGGGCAGCGCGCCCAGACTCCTGGGAGCTGGTGCTACTCACCTGAAGCGCTGACCACCTGGGAGAGGGCCCAGCCGAGCAGGACCGTCCGAGCGACAGCGGTCCCCTGCGGGACCCGGGGCCAGGCAGGAGTCTCCATGTCCACGAGCTGGCGACGAGGTCGGGTGGGTTCCGATGCACCCTGGAGGCCGGGGAGGGCGGGCTTTAGGCACCCAGGGTCGGCCCAAGAGAGCGGGATGGGGCGCGGGGAGCCCCGAGTCTGGGGAAGCCCGTGCCCGGCGCGCTATAAAGGGCCGCGCGGACGCCCGCGCCTCGGCCGGCCCCCGGCGCCCGCCCCGCCCCGCCCCGCCGCCCTTCCCAGCTCCCCGCCCCCGGCCCGGGTCACTCGCCGCCGCGGAGGGCGGCCCCGGCCGTTCCACACCCCTGCCCCGCCTCCTCCCCGTAGGAAACTCCGGGACCCTGCAAGCGGTGACTCACCGTGATTCCACCACGCCGCCGAGCGCCGAGCTGCCCTTGCGCCGCGGGCGGGCCCAGGTGCTGCGGGGGCCCAGGTGTCCCCGGGTTCCCCAGCCCTCCCAGCCACCCGGGCCCGCGACCTAGGTGGGCCGCAGATTTATGGAGAAGACAGAGGTGCCTTGGAAGGAGCTCTGGAGTTGGAGGAAAGGGATTCTAACCTTCTATTTGGTGATAAAGTGTTGTCCGGCCGGTGGGAGGCGCAGTATTTACAAAATGTAATAGAAAGTGCGGTCTCTGGGCTCCGCGTTTGCCCACCTGGGGCTGAGTTTCGGGATCTGCAGCGAAGTAACGGTGTGGCGGTGAGCGGGGCCCTCGCCCAGCCACGGTTTCCTCCTCTTCCCCGCGGGGCAGGATGCCTGGCCCACCTACCTCAGCGGCCCTTAGCGCGGGCGCATTGCATAAAGGTGGCGCGAACGCAGGTCGGCCATGGGTGTGAACGGCCCACAGGTCTGAATGTCAGCTGGCCCGGGCTCCAGCCGGTCGGACTCGGGACAGTGACTGAGGAGGAAGAGCCTCAAATCTGGCAGTTTGCCTCTGGGAGAATTCCAGCGTGACATCTGCAGCCCTGTGGTTTCAGAAAGGATGGTTCTCACATTGAAGAAGACATCTGTGGGATTCAGTGAGTTCCACTCAAGTGTGGAGAAACCAAAAATGAAATTGAAAAATGTACTCAGACTTTCGTGCCACTGGTTTTAAGCTTTGGTTTTTCTGACTTTTTTCTGACTTCTACTTCTGGGCTTTGCTGGAAAGTTGTCAGGCGTGAGAATGTTAATTCTTACCCTATCGAGTGCCATTGTACTGGGTCTTGTCAAAGAATCTCCCATCGTTCGTTTATTATTATTCTGTAGTTGCCTGCAAGACACAACTGGAGAGTTCTTAGTGGAAGAAGAGTGTTTTCTCTTTCCTTCTCTCCCACGTTTTTTTCTAGGGATGTCAACCTTGCATTTTAGTGCAAACACTATATACACGTTTCCTTATAGCCTGCTGAGTCATAGCAGTACACTCGTTTTAAAGAAGTAAAAATTTGCAAAATTATTTTCTCCCTTTGCCTGGAATGAAATAGCACATCCAGGTTTAGCCCTGGCAGTCCTTCCTTCCTAGAAGCTGAAAGTTGCCCTTGCTGGTTTCTTCTTTGAGCTCCCTGCCAACTCTAAAACCCAAAAAGTTTATATTTGCAAAACTAAGTCATAGCATCCTCCTTTTTGCAGTCTCTGGCGTGAGTCATTTTTCCTGACAGATCTTCAGCCCCACCTGGGATGTGATTCTTTGCTCTCCGGGTTGAAGTTAGCTAAAGAGAAATTGTTACAATTCAGTCCAGTGTGTTAGAAGACCCAAGAAATCATTGCTGCCTGTACAGAGTAGTTAACTCCACTTGGAGTCACTGAATGTCCTGAACTCATATAGGGCTTTAAACAATGTCAAGATCAGCCATTTGATAAGAAAAATATGTTTACCATGAGATCGTAACACAAAACTTGCCTTAAATGTTGATAAATTAGATGAATATTTATTTTGCAGATCCACTAAAATCGTCAAGCAGGGAAGAGAGGAATTTGTTGGGTCTTTGCATAGGGTTTTGAATAAATACAAAATGACATTTTTCAAGCTTTGAAAATGCTGAAATCATTACTATTTTCGAGAAGAGAAGGAAGAAAACTGGTGATGGTAAATAATATTTCATAGAAATTTTTTTTCCCAACTAATCAAATTGTGGCCAGATGATTTTATAGATCAACTGCTCTGTGGCACCATTGAAAGTACATTTCTAAAATTCCACTGTTGATATTTACTACACAGGAATAAAATGATTGTTAAAATTATCCCCTAACCTCACCCAATATTTTTACTCCCTTCAATAAAGTCAAGCTTAGCAGTTACCAAAGTTCCTTCCTACATGATACATCTTCAAGGCTCTGAGAAGTTCAAAAAGTTACTAAACTGTAATGATAATCTTGCTGGCTTGATCAATCTCTTTCTGATTAGATCTTAGAGTGTCCGAAGGTTGGAGAGCTCACCGACATCCTTTTACAGATTAGGAACCTGTGGCCAGCTGGCCTGAGTGACCTGACTTGTCTAACCAACAATGTAGATCTGATCTTCTGACCCCAGGGGCTTTCCTTCCATGACCATGCTTTCCCCTGTTCCCAATGAATGCAAATAAGATTGGGGCATAAGCCCATTAAGTGAGTAATTAATTTATCCATCCATAGGCACTCAACAATATTCTGTAGTTGGTATAGAAAACGCTTGCAGTTTGGGAAACTCATTGTTCTTAGGCAGAAATATCCTGATGGTTAGTCCTTGAAACAGGCATGCATGGAGACATGCAGAAGGGTTTGAGTTCCCTTTGCATAACTAGGGAGGAAATGTGGTTGAGGAGGAGTTTGAAAATGATTGGGGCAATGTTTCAGCCCTTCCTCTGTACTTTTATAGTACTTGATGCCAATTTCACTCAATCGATTTCATGAGAACTTCACTTACTTTGAATTGTGTGTTTACTTGTCAGCCTTCCTCATAAGAACTCCTTAGGGGAATAGGAACTGGGTTTTTTCTTTACATCTCTCACCCTTTGCACAATTAGCAGAACATAGTAGGCATTTAGTACATTTTGAATCAATGAATTTTTTATGAAATCATGTATGCAGCCAAATATTTTCACTGATGTTCAAGAGATGACATCTGTCACTGAAAATTTTCTTTCTAGGGGCCAGGCAGTGAGTGTTCCATAATGCTCAGATTGGTAAGGAAATAAAAATCCATCATGAGTCGAAAGGCACCACTTGACAGCAAGCTCCAGCTGTCTAACCAGTGATTAACATCTTTGCTGCCACTAGAAAATCTAATTAGGAGAGGGAACTGAAGAGCAGAAAACAAATGCAGAAGTTTGGGAACTGGTTAGCATTTTTCTAAACGACTAGATTCTAAGGTGATTTAGAATATGCTCAGTCATGTGATGAGGTTGTAGATAGCTTTTTTTTTTTTTTTGCATATAAAAGCTTAATGACTTTTTAGAATAAATTCCTCAAAATGTCTATCTTTCCAGGAAAGAGATAGGTTTATGATAGCAAATAAAATGGAGAGTAATTTTAAAATACCTACTATATGCATATGAAATGGTAAAAAGAGCATTGAAACCATTTTACTTAAAATTCAGGTAAAAGGCAAAGTATGAAAAAAAAGCAGACGGAATTAAGAGTCAATGGGAACACAGAGTTCTGGAAAAAAAAGTGACTCAGCAGAACCTAAGAAACATCTGTCAGGGTATAGTTAGTCATGGAAAAATTGGCAGTCATGATTATGCATTTTGTGAAAATAATTATATACTAGTCTAACAGTCTACATTTAGACCAAAATTAATAGTTGAAATCTACTATCCTTGTCATTCAAATACTTCTATCAACTGTCTAGAATAGCTTATAGGAAGCTTTACCAAATAAGTTATCACATAGCACCAGTTTTCTGGAAAACATCATTTTAGAGAAAAACCTTTCAGTTCAAGCCTTATAAAAGGAAAAGTATTTTCAACACACACCTATCTGTGTAAACTTAAGGCTTATCAAACTATCTGTCAACTTTCATTTTGAGGAACAGTAAACATTATTTTTATTATTTACATACAATGGTGACAAAACAGATAAATCATAAATGTGAATTGCAAATATTGTTTTAGCAACAAAAGTCCTTTAAGATGAAAACCTTTAACCTCTGTTCTTAACATTTATGTGACTTAAAATTTTGTATGTGGTATCATTTTATACAAGCATCCCTTACTTCCTCATTTTTTAACTCCTTCTCCTTGACGTATGTACTAACTTTGACGAACAGAAATTCATTCGTTCAACAAATACTTGAATGTCTACCAGATGCTGGTTTCTCTGCGAGACTCTCGATATACAGAATAAAATAAAACAGTCCCTTACCTATTAAGTACATCATCATTCCTACTTATGTCCAGATTTTAATGATTTGAATGATTTTCTGTCAGCATTTGGACCGAATATAAAACAATGTTTTTTTTTTTTTAGCGATGGGTTCTTGCTATGTTGCCCAGGCTGGTCTCGAACTCCCTGGGCTCAAGTGATTCTCCTGCCTCAGCCTCCTGAGTAGCTGGGACTACATGCATGTACCATGTGCCTGGCTAAAACAATGTTATTTATTAATAAATTTCATTCCATGACCCCCCCCCCACCAAGATTCAGGTGTGTCATGGTCACTCTATCAAATAGGTATCTTTAACTCAGAAAATTACTTATAGATTTGAGGTACATGTCATAAGGGAGTAACAGGATGCTTTAGACTGGATGTCTATGTCCCCCTCTCCCTGCACAAATTCATATGTGGAAATCCTAACCTCCAACATGATTATGGTGTTAGGAAATGGCATCATCGGTAGGTGATTAGGTCAAGGGTGGAGCCCTCCTGAATGAGATTAGTGCCCTTATAAAAGAGACCCTGGAGAGCTCCCTCTTCCTTGCTGCCATGTAAGGACACAGCAAGAAGTCAGCTGTCTATGAACCAGGAAGTGGGTCCTCACCAACCACCTAATCTGCCAGAACCTTAGTCTTGGACTTCCCAGCCTCCAGAACGGTGAGACATAAATTTCTGTTGTTTTAGAGCTGGTCAGACTATGATATTTTCGGTCTAGTGGTCTGAATGGACTAAGATACAAGATATATAATATGGAAGATGCTTGTCGTACCATGACAGTGATTGGCTTTTCAGAATATGGTAAAGTTTATAGAACCTATTAAAGTGACCAAATTGAAAGGATTGATCTTATGCTTGGACCTT